CCCCCTTACACTCCACTTAGCGGTCTCTGACCCCGGCAAGCTACCCAGGGGTCCACCTCTCTCCCTGGACTTGCAGTATAGGCCCCAGGGTGCCCCCTTGCCCTCCACTTAGGGGCCTCTGACCCCAGCAAGCAACCCAGGGGTCCACCTCTGTCCCTGGAGTTGCAGTTTAGGCCACAGGGTGCCCCCTTGCCCTCCACCTAGGGGCCTCTGACCCCAGCAAGCTACGCAGCGGTCCACCTCTCTCCCTGGACTTGCAGTAAGGGCCCAAGGGTTCCCCCTTGCCCTCCACCTAGGGGCCATGATCCCAGCAAGCTACCCAGGGGTCCACCTCTGTCCCTGGACTTTCAGTATAGGGCCCAGCCTGCCTCCTTGCCCTCCACCTAAGGGCCTTTTAACCCAGCAAGCTTCCCAGGGGTCCACCTCTCTCCCTGGACTTGCAGTATAGGCCCCAGGGTGACCCCTGCACTCCCTATAGGGGGCTTTGAACCCCGCAAGCTACCCAGGGGTCAACATCTCTCCCTGGACTTGCAGTATAGGCCCCAGGGTGCCCCCCTGGCCCTCCACCTAGGGGTCTCTGACACAAGCAAGCTACCCAGGGGTCCACCTCTCTCCCTGGACTTGCAGTATAGGCCCCAGGTGCCCCTTGCACTCCACCTAGGGGTCTCTGACCCCAGCAAGCTACCCAGAGGTCCACCTCTCTCCCTGGACTGACAGTATAGGCCCCAGGGTGCCTCCTGGCCCTCCACCTAGGGGCCTCTGACCCCAGCAAGCTACTCAGCCATCCACCTCTCTCCCTGGACTTGCAGTATAGGCCCCAGGGTGCCCCCTTGTCCAGCACCTAGGGGCCTGTGACCCTGGCAAGCAACCCAGGGGTCTACCTCTCTCCCTGGACTTGCAGTATAGGCCCCAGGGTAACCCCTGGCCCTCCACCTAGGGGCCTCTTACACCAGCAAGCTAACCAGGGGTCCACCTCTCTCCCTGGACTTGCAGTACAGGCCCCAGGGTGCCCCCTTGCACTTCACATAGGGGTCTCTGAACCCAGCAAGCTAACCAGGGGTCCACCTCTCTCCCTGGATTTGCAGTGTAGACCCAAGGGTGCCCCCGTGCCCTCCACCTAAGGGCCTTTGACCCCATCAAGCTACCCAGGGGTCCACCTCTCTCCCTGGACTTGAAGTATAGGCCCCAGGGTGCCCCATTGCCCTCCATCTAGGGGCCTCTGACCCCATTAAGCTACCCAGGGGTCCACCTTTTTCCCTGGACTTGCGGATTAGGCCCCAGGGTGCCCCCTGGCCCTCCACCTAGGGGTCTCTGACACCAGCAAGCTACCCAGGGGTCCACCTCTCTTCCTGGACTTGCAGTAGAGGCCCCAGGGTGCCCCCTGGCCCTCCACCCAGGGGCCTCTGACCCCAGCAAGCTACCCAGGGGTCCGCCTCTATTCCTGGACTTGCAGTATAGACCCCATGGTGCCTCATGGCCCTCCACCTAGGGGCTTCATACTCAAGAAAGCTACCCAGGGGTCCACTTCTCTCCTTGGACTTGTAGTATAGGCCCCAAGGTGCCCCCCTTGCCCTCCACCTAGGGGCCTCTGACCCCAGCAAGCTACCCAGAGGTCCACCTCTCTCCCTAAACTGGCAGTTTAGGCCCCAGGGTGCCCCTCTTACCCTCCACCTAGGGGCCTCTGACCCCAGCAAGCTATCCAGGGGTCCACCTCTTTCCCTGGACTTGCAGGATAGGCCCCAGGGTGCCACTTGGCCCTCCAGCTAGGGGCTTCTGACCCCAGCAAGCCACCCAGGGGTCCACCTCTCTTCCTGGTCTTGCAGTATAGGCCCCAGGATGCCCC